TCCTTATGAGACAACAGCGTGTAGGGAAAGTGTCTTTTTTTCCACCCATCTCATTTCACATGAGTAGATATTCATGAACAAAGGTGAGTTCACTCAAGGGTGCCAGAGCTTGCAGTTTGGAAGGGTCCAAACAGGAACTTGGTTAGTTAGCTGCAATATCCTCTCTCAGTGAGAGAGCTACAGTCTAGTGTCAAATGCTCGCGACTTCCTGATACTGGAGCTTTCTATTAATATCCAGGTTTTCCATTTCATTTGTAAAAGGGTGTGTGAAGTGCATTCTACCTGTGTATAGACATCTCTAATGGCTGCAGATGAAGTTCTGCCTCCCTGGCTGTTCTCCATCACTGTAGAGAATGGCCACGGTTCACCTGGAATGTCTTTTTCTAACTGGCCAGTCTGATAGAAAGACATTTACTGCTCACACAGACCGCTCATCCCTGCTGGTACTGTGGACCCTTCCTTCGCACCAGTGATTGCAGTGGGGTGTTTACTTCTCTCCTACCCACTAGGTGGTAAGCTCCAGGAGGACAGTGACTGGGCTGGCACAGAGAAAGCATTCAACAAATATTTATTCAGAGGAGAAAAGGACAGAAGGCAGGGAAAGTGGGAAGAATGTAGGGAGGAAGGAAAAGAGGATTAAGTCTAACATTAAAGTTTTCCATGAGATGAACTAAACTTTTCTCTGCCCATGGTCTTGATCTCAGTCATAATGACTGACCCCTTACACTCCATGCTCTCTTATATACACCACGCTTCACCCTCTCCACTGCCTGTTTTATGCCCTACCGTCTGCATAGGCTGGCTCTCTCTCTGCTATGGGCATTCTTTGCTTGCTCATCCAGAACCACTCCCCATCCTGCTCTGCGTCCTTGGGAGGCTGGCTTCTATTGCATCAACAGGTTCCTTTGTTTTGTGACTTCCAGTTGGATTCACTAAATAGGAAAAACTGGCAGCAGACTGGCAGGCAGAGAGAATGACAGCATGGAATTTACTCTCCTGGTTCCTTCTTCTTATCAGGTGGCTGTAGGTTGGCTGCCTCCCTTGCTGAGAGCCACAGCTGATCCCAGGAATCCCTCTCCATACAGCCCTTCTCCCTGGGTCCCATAATCACTTTTTCCTCTTGCCCCTACAGGCCAAGGGGGGAAATGGCTCTCCATGGTTTCCAGCCCCGTAGTATAGTGCGAGGTCGTGCTGGTTGTCCTCAGTCCTGCCTACAACATTGTAAACAGCTTCTTCTTGCAAATAGCCCCTCCTTCAACTCTCCTTAATTATTGTGTTTGAATGTGCCATCTGTTTCCTGCTAGGACCCTGACTGATGCAGTCTGCATCTTTACCTCTCAACAGGCCGTCTGTTCTCAAATGCCTACTCAAATCGTGCTTCCTCCGCTGCTTTGCCTTGTTGCCCTAGTCAAATCAATCTCCGCTCTTTAGGTCTCCGGTCCTACTGTGTGTCTGTAAATTTAAAAATCAGAGTTTCTTGTGTTTCCATATGACTTTCCCACTAAAGTGGAAGCCCCTCAATGGTGAGGAACGTGTCCAACTCATTGCAACACCCCCAGTGAAAAGCAGAAATGCTGATGGGATAGACATGCCCAATAAATGCCTGTTAAAGAGAAGATAAACAGTCAGTATCTGGCTTTGTCTCAACATGGAATAAGGTATTTTTGTGCAGTGCTCACCACCAAGACCACAAGGCCACCTTCTCCACCAGCCCTGTAATTCCAGCGATGGCCTCATCACACATGGTTATCAGTACTGACTTGCATGCCTCTGGTGATGAGAAGCTCACTCACCCATCTAACTGGAGATGATATCATCTATTACTCAGCTCAAAGCTGCCGCCTCTAATTGCAACACTCGAGTCCCAGCCATGGCTTAGAAACCATATAGAATAATTCTGCGACTTTCCCACCAGAAAGGCCTCCAGAGCTTGAAATGTTTGTGTCATGACCATGTAACCATGACCCTCCCTCCCTCCTTTCCTCCCTTTTTTGTTTAAATTCACAAAGCAAAATAATTTATCTGCAACCTTCCACAGGTTTCTGTCTGCACACAGCAGAGGTGATTTGGTCAGAACCCAGAAAGCTCCAGGCTCATCACGAGATGACACGTGGCCTGGTGGGCCTCATGCAGGGCACATAGCTTTCCCAGCCAGCAAACAAACAAGTCCTGGTCACAGCGGTCATAGCTGGCACATGGTCACTCACAGACACTCTGGGCACGCATTCCCGTGACTTAGAAAAGGGAAGGCCTTTGGAACCTGACAGTGTTGTCTGCTGATTGTGAGGTATCTGGAACCTGGGGCCTCATGGCCCCTCCACACCAGCATGGTGTTCTGCAAAGGCCAGCTACTCTTCATCCTGTCTCAATGCTACATAGTTTTTTCCCCCGAAACTTTAGTAGAGCCACTCTTCCTGTCACCTGTCTTTTAATTCTGCCTCTTATTTTTCCTTAGATTAAATCATATCCTCAGCCAGGCACGGTGGCTCAAGCCTGTAATATCAGCACTTTGGGAGGCCGAGGCGGGCGGATCATGAGGTCAGGAGATTGAGACCATCCTGGCCAACATGGTGAAACCCCGTCTCTACTAAAATACAAAAATTAGCTGTGCATGATGGCATGTGCCTGTAGTCCCAGCTACTTGGGAGGCTGAGGCAGGAGAATTGCTTGAACCTGGGAGGCAGAGGTTGCAGTGAGCTGAGATTGTGCCACTGCACTCCAGCCTGGCGCCTGGTGACAGAGTGAGACTCTGTCTCAAAAACAAACAAACAAAAAACATATCCTCCTTCCATGGGAGCTTTGGACCTAGTAGTCTTAGGTTTGAATCCAAGCTATTGATTTATTAGCAGAGTGATCTTAGGTAAGTCCCTTCATCTTTTTGAATCTTAAATTTTCACAGCAAAACAGGGTACCCACCTTCCAGACACTTGGTAGGTGCTGCATAAATGTTTGTTGCATGAATGAATGAATGAGCAAATAAATGGATGTACAAATAGATGGATGACTTCCAATCATGCCCATTCTACCCATATCCACTCTGAGCAGGCACAGAGGTACCTCTTGGGAGTCTAGTTTAGTGACGCACACTGAGCACAGACTTGCACTTGTGATTTAGCCTAATGATTTTCTTGACCCATGAACTTAGCTAAGTCACTTCACTCTGAGTTTCCTCTATTTCCCGTCAGTCAAATGTGAATGTTAACCTCTGTGCTGACTCCCTTGCCAAGTTCTGGAAAGGCCCAAGTGAGAGCAGAGATGACAATGCACTATGACCTGGAAGAGACTGGTCACACATCAAGGCTTCTCACATGGGCTGCTCATGTCTTGGAGCCAAGGTGAGAGTCCAGGGGCCCTCCTGGTGCCAGGAAGCTGAGCTGAGGTGCTTTCTGACTTTCTGCCAGGCAGGGCATTCTCCTGCTGGCATCCTCATTCCTTTGCACTTAGGTATTCTGTTCATACACGGGAGGCCCTTGCTCTTTTGAGAGAGACATAAAGAGTCAGCAGAAAACCTGCAGAGGTCGGCAAATGTGCCCGAGCCATCAGCAAGTCCAGGGTCCTGTGTGTTGGACAGAATAGAAAAGTTCAGTGTGAATCTGGGAAAAACAGATTTAATACATGTTACCAGTGAGTTCACCTTTGGGTTCTCCTTTGGGATTATCGGTTATGGTGGATAGCAATGGTAGAGGCTAACTGAAGCGTTAGACCGAAGGTCCCCTTTTCTATCCTCTTTTTAACAGTAGATGTGAGAAGTTTTCTCTGCCTGGAGTGGCCTCCTTTCTTCCTCCACCCAATCTCTGATGTCAAAATGATACCTATTCTTTTTTCAAGTAAATTTTATTGTATATCTTTAAGGTAGACATGATGTTGTGGGATACATATAGATAGCAAACAGTGTACTGTAGAGAAACAAATGAACATATCCATCATCTTAAGTCACCCATTTTCTTTTGTTATTTTGTGCCAAAAGCAGCTAAAATCAGGTTAGTTAGCATGAATCCCAAGTACAGTTCAACTTGATTTCCTACAGTCCTCATGCTATACATTAGCCCCCTAGACTTGTTCTATGACACCGATTGTATTGTTTCTGTTGTTCATTAAATCTCTAGATTTGTTCTACCATCCTGCAAATTAGAGCTATTCTTGAAGACCTAGCTCAAATGTTACCTCTCTCAAGAGGGCTTCCCTGATATAGTCAAGCTGCAAGTCAACTTTTTCTCTTTAATCACCTAAGGCACTCTGTGAACAGCACACTACCTTTCATTAGACAAGTAATGACAAACATACTATTGAGAATTAATGGTGTGTCTCCTCTCTATCAATCCTCAGGGCAACTTGACATAATAGGTGCCATGATTTTCCCCATTTTACAAAAGAAGAAACAGCTTCTAAGAAGTTGCAAAATGAGGAAGTCACAGAGAGCTAAGACCATGGGGCCAGGTTGTGTGTCCCTATGTGGCCCCAGATCTTGGGCCCGCACACCAGAACTTTCTGTGATGATTAAAGGTTTCATATTGTTTTGTCAGTATGGTAGCCACTAGACCCACGTGGCTAGAGTACTTGAAATGTGGCTAATGCAGCTCAGGAACTGGATTTTGAGTTTTATTTAACTTTGACTGATTGAAATTTAAGTAGGCACACGTTGCTAGGAACTACCATATTGGACTGTGCAACTGTCGCCGACCCTATGTCATACAATACAACAGCTATTTGTACTCAGTTCGTATCACCCAATTTAAACTCTGAGCTCTTTGAGAAGACAAAACTCTCAGGCTTCCTTCATAGCTCCTGGTAGACACTCAATGAATATTTTTGTAATACACTGTGTTTGCCTATGGTCTCCATGATGACCCTCGTGAGTAAAGGACTTGCCTCAATCATGAAGTTGCTGGGTGAACCAGAAAATCCGTGTATCACCCATGGACCTCAGAGGCCTTATCTTTAATATGGAGGACAGCAAGTTCAGCTTTCAACTGGGCATCTTTAGCCCAGTAAGGCCTTACCTGTGCGGAGAGTCGGGGTCAAAGCAAGTCTGAGTGACATCGGTGATTTCGGGGTCACAGCACTCTCCGCCATCAAAGTTGAACCGTTCATAGTTGCAGTCCATGTCACACACCCCATTCTGCTGCTTCTTCAGGAAGGCGGGGTGGCGCAGGCGGCGGCAATCCCCGCCATCGTGGCCGGTCAGCGTGTGGTTGCACTCGGGGTCACAGTTCTCATCCCCGATCTTGCTGACGTCACAGTTGGCCAGGATGAGGCGGTGGCGCAGGGAGGAGTTGCTCACCTCCAGCACCTCCAGCTCCCAGGAGATGTTGTAGTGTCTGAAGGTCTCGACCAGCTGCTGGTGCTGGAAGTCCACCTGCTCGCGGGTCACCATCGGGTTCTCATGATTGTCATCGTAGAGGTTGACCACGCGGTAGCGCACCACCTTGGGCTGGCGGAAGCTCGGGAGCTGATTGTAACTGGTGATGACCTCTGCGTTGTCACACAATGTCTGTCCACACAGAGGAGGCTCCAAGCTCGTGTCCAGCAAAAAGCCATGGGCATTGCTGAATTCCACTTTGGGGCGGCTGCTCTCCTTCATGGGGGACCAGGAATGCTTCAGATTGTCCCAGTTCTCCTGGAGGAGGAGCTGAGGTAGAGCAGTGTGGGTGCCATGGGTTTCCATGTCGGACAGTATCTCCCGCTGAGTCCTGGCCACCTTCCACAGACTGAAGTGCTCGATGTAGCCCCGGTAGTTGTGATTCAGGGCATTGCCCCCCAGCATAAGCACTTTGCACTTCTGAGTCAGTGGGCTGAATATGCCACCCACTTGCTCCCCAGAGGTGGCCACCTGGGCACCATTCACATAGAGCTTCATGAACTGCCCGTCGTAGGTGGCAGCTAGGTGTACCCACTGGCCTGGGAGGTAGCTGCGGTGGGCATTGATGGTGGTCACTTGCCGGGCCCGGTCTGTCTTCAAGGAGAAAAAGTAGCGTGGGTCTGTGTTGTCTTGGTCACTGACGGTGTGAATGCCCACGACCCATCCTCGGTCACGTGAGGTATAAGAACATTTGTCATACAGCCCTATGTGGCCCCAAAAAAGAAAGATGAATAAATAAAGGATGGAAAAGGAGCGGGGCGGAAGAGGGGGTTAAGTTATTTTTCTCTGATAGTATTTGTATCAGATTATCCTAGACTCATTGTTTTCCAACTGCTCTGTGGGATCCTAGCAGTTACTAACGGTGCCTCTGGGACCACCTCAAGGGTAAGGCAAGGGCTGGGGGATCTGAAAGGATGAGTAAGTTGGGTCTGGGCCATTCTCATCACAACTTTAACCTGTGAAGTTTAACTTTTTTTGGTTTTGAATATGGAGCATAGAAGAAAGACCTTTGTCTGAAGAAAGGGTACTTCACCCAATGAAAATGCAACAACAGCAATAATAATAAAAATCCAAAAATCATCGGTTTTGCAAAGCTGTTAGATGAGGAAGAGAACTTGTAACTAACAGGGTATTTTAGGCTGGGAGTGGTGTCTCATGCCTGTAATCCCAGCACTTCGAGAGGCCAAGGTGGGTGGATCACCTGAGGTCAGGAGTTCAAGAGCAGCCTGGCCAACATGGTGAAATCTTGTCTCTACTAAAAACACCAAAAGTAGCCAGGCGTAGTGGCTGGTGCCTGTAATCCCAGCTACTGGCTGAGGTTGGAAAATTGCTTGAGCCCAGGAGGTGGAGGTTGTAGTAAGCAGAGATCATGCCGTTGCATTCCAGCCTGGGCAACAAGAGCGAAACTCTGTCTCAAAAAAAAAGAAAAGAAGGTATTTTAAGTGTAAGATAATACACAACATGAAAGGAGAAACAGAGGGAAATGATAATGAACAGAAGATGCTCATTCAGAAGGGGGGTCCCTATCATAGTTACCAGAACTTTGAGTGTCCGTCTGCCATTAGCAGTCATTCAATGATCAGTGGCATTAAATTGTCAGGCAAGTTGGGGTATAAAAACGAGGGACAGGACTGAAAATCTGGAACTTTATTCTCTAACAGGAATCTTGCCATTTATCCCCAAAGAAAGAAAATACACTTCAGAGCTAAACTGAAAAGGTTTTCAAAGATCATCATCTCCAAACCTTTCATTTGACAGGTAAGAGAGCTGATACCAGAGAATGGACGGCATTTGTCAAGTCAGAGTCATTGACATTTCTCCTGTGTCCTGATTTAGCTAGCTTTTTACTGATGCCTATATATAGAAGCATCAGATATATATATATATACATACACATACATACATATATATATATATACACACACATACATACATATATATATACACACATACATACATATATATATATATATAGTGCCTTCTCAACATAAAAACATGTTGGGTATGCCTACATAATAGTTAATAATAATGAGCAAAATCTCCCAAGCCTCTATGGCAGGCCAGGCATTGTGCTAAGGTCTGTATATGCATCAACTTAATCCATGTAATATCCCTAAGGTAGTGACATTACATTTCTCATTTAACTGATGAGAATATGGAAATTAAAGGAGATGGAGGGACAGGTTCCAGGTCAACTGCTTGGTAAGTGGATCCCAGATCCATCAGACCCTTGGATTCACTGTCCTGGGCACTCATTCTATAGCAACTCCCCCTGCCTCACCAAAGTCATCAGGCATCTGGACCACGCCACCTACCTAGAGCATGTCACAAATTTGAGTTCGATAGCTGAGGAAGTGCCAAGCCAAGCATCTCTATAGTTACTCTGGGAACCCCAGAAAGTAGGTTAGTGGATTCTCTCTGGATCTAATTCTCTTTATGCTCACCAACTCCCATTTCCTAGCCCTTCTGGAATATACCCAGTGTCCTTGGCACAGACAAAGCTGTTGGATGGGGAAGAGGACTTTCTAATTAAGAGTGTATTTTAAATGTCAGATGATGTATGAGGCCAGGTGGGAGAAGAAAGGGAGGCAGAGGAGAGTGAATAAAAGATGCTCATTTAGAAGGACAGCGTCTACTCTCAGCTGGAGAATTGTTGCGGTCACCATAACTCTGGGAGTGCACCTGCCATTAGTGCTCATCAAATGAGTATGGAGAGCTTCCAGCAAAATCAATAGAGGAGGCCCACACAGTCTTCACTCCTTTGTGGGCAATGGAAGCTTAGAATTGGTGTAAATCTCTTTGTTAGCAGCTGACATGGCCAGCAGTCTTCGTCCAGCATCTATGCCAACTGACACCTCACCTCCTACTTCCTGCTCAACAGTTTTTCAGGAAATGGCCAGAGCCTCCTTACAAAGTTGTCCTGCTCTTACCATCAGGCAATCTTAGTGGAGCTCCAAGTGTCTGCTCTGGGCCCTGATTCTCTATCTGGTAAAGGAGAGGATTAAGTGAAGGTTCGTGTCACATACTAGGTCCAAGTCTAATTTACTTTATTCTAGATTTCCCAATGACTAACACACAAGGTACCTCTTCCTAGAAGTTCTTCCTGACTGCCCTGTGAATAGTGATTATTCTCTTCTTTGAACTCTTTTTACTTTCAGAAAACTCAACACGTGCTCTTTGGTTTTCAAGGTGCCTGTGTTCTCACCATTATCCCCTCTCTGCTAAACTGTATTCTTCTTGAGAGCAATGGTTGTGTCTGTGTCATCCCAGCAACCTGTCCAGCACCTTGCTACAGCGGGCATGGGAATGATTCTAAATACAGCAGTAGATGAGAAAAGATAGGCATTTTAAGGACAAACAGAATCAAAGGCATTAATTTATGTCTCTGTAACTAAAGTACAGGGAGAATCAGAGGATAAAATGTATTCTTGGTAAAGTAGAAAGATCAGGATCTTTGGACTCAGGGTAATTTACTTTGAATCTTGACAACAGCAATTACTAGTTGTACATCTGGGGCAAAATCACTTCACCTCTAAGCTTTAACTCCTTCATCTGTACCTCTCTTTAAATATATTATCACACTTAAGACATAGTAAATATGACATCTTCTGCATACAATGGCTGTCCAAACAAGAGTTCATTGTTGGCTGGGCGTGGTGGTTCCCGCCTGTAATCCCAGCACTTTGGGAGGCCCAGGAGGGTGGATCACGAGGTCAAGAGATCAAGACCATCCTGGTCAACATGGTGAAACCCTATCTCTACTAAATATACAAAAAATTAGCTGGGCATGGTGGCATGTGCCTGTAGTCCCAGCTACTCGGGAGGCTGAGGCAGGAGAATTGCCTGAACCCAGGAGGCAGAGGTTGCGGTGAGCTGAGATCGCGCCATTGCACTCCAGCCTGGGTAACAAGAGCGAAACTCCCTCTCAAAAAAAAAAAGAGTTCATTGTTAAGATGCTGAAGGGTTCAGAAGCAATGTAGAGGATGAAAAGGAGGGAGGAAATGATGGGAAACAAAATACAAAGGCCAGAAAGACAGAGTACCCTGAAGACATCTTGCCTGATATATCAAGAAGGAAGGCTCAAAGAAGCCCAGATCCTTCTCAAACCCACTGGCAAACTGTTCTTAGAAATCACAGAACCCATCGACTTAGATGATATCAGGAGACAGCAGATTAAAAGCTGCCTCCCCACTGACTCCTTCAGAAGCCTAAGATTCAACTCTAGATTTGAAGTGAGTTGCCCCAGATCTATCTGTTGCTGCCCATTATGGGAAACAGTGAGAGCAGAGCTTCCTGGAGCCACGCCATTCATGCCCTTCACCACCTCTTAGCTCATCTTCTCTCTCTCTCGCTTGCAGCTAACCCTATTCCTCATGAAAAGAAAATGAAGGGTCTTCTAACGAGAAAATTAAAATCTGAAGCAAGATCCTTTTTCCCTCTCTCTCTGCAGGTTTTTATTTTGCCAGGGGTTCCCAGTCCCTGGTGTTCCTGTTGCCTTTGGAAGGCAGCTAGTCTGGTTAGCAAGGTAAAATGTTTATATATCTGTAGGGTGCTCTCAGTTCAGAAGCTTGATGGGGCTTGGGACCTGGGCTCAGGTCACCCCAGTTTGCAGTTGAGAGAAGGGGGAAGAAGTGAGAAAAGGCAGATTCTGCAGAAGAGCTAAGAAATAAGGGGTGGTTTAGCCATAGGGGGCAGAGAGGAAAGGCAAAGAGAGGGTTTTCAGTGGAACCAAAAGGAAACACATTATGGGAAATGCGAACCTTGAAGTAGTGGCTCCAGAAATTCAGAGGGAAATATTCACCTGGAGTGTAAGTAGTGAAAGAAAATCATCGAGCTTCAGTAAGGTTGGGGAAGTATGGTGGCAATGGGGTTTCATTTCTATATGAAAATAACTGAATCAACAGTAGTCTTATTTTAGGGTCTGGAAGGGAAGCTGTACCACCAGCTCAGAACAAGAAATTTGGCACCGGAGAGTCAGGCTTGACTTCCCAGATAACCTTGCCTGGGACAAGTCATACCACCTCCTTCAGGTTGCGGAACCTCATTTCCCTTCTCTGTAAAAGGAGGGGTCTGCCTAAAAACGATCCCTTGCTAGAATTTAAGAGCTCTTTTGTTCACTGTTAGAATGGTTCCTTGTAAGTAAAAGGTGTTCAAAAATATGTGTTGATTTGAATTAGATGCCTTACATCATTCCCAATTCTTTCATGCTTAGATTCTGTCTCCTCTGAGGATCTCTATACAGGACACAGAATGCCGTTCTCTGGAGTACACAAAAGAATCCCCACATCTCCACACTGCCTCTCCCCACAGTTCTCCGTAAATATAAAGGCATAGTACAAAAAGAATTGGCGCGAGTTTATCTGAAGTCAGCACCATCTGTGTGGGACTAGAGGATGATCCCAAGAGATACAGTCCCATGTGGCAAGATGGAAGGCCACACGCAATTCTGCACATGATCTACCTATAATTAGCATAAGTCTGTCTCAATGCTATAAGCACATAGAACTGGACAATGAAAGCATGCAAGAGCTCCTTTATAGAAGTGTGTCTGGGCACACTGCTCAGAGGGAGAGGTTGAGGGCCAGCAGGACAGGAGCCTGCCCTGGTCCTCCTGTTAAGGCACCATCCCTGGAAGCCTGGCCGGTTGACCTTTCTAATGCACACCATCTTCCTGCAGCTAGGCTTGATGTGAGAAGGGTTCCATGCCCCCCAGAAGCTTGATATCTATTTCTTTTCATTGCCTCTTTTTCTTCTCATCTATCCATTCAATCTCATGCAGAAAGAAGAACATCCACAAGGGAGAAAAGCTCAAAGGCATAGAGTCTCTCAGAACCTTGGTTATGGCTGTATAGAATCCTCTGGGCATTAGGGGTATTCTCTAAAGATCATTGCCTTAGATACTACCCCAAGGCAAATCTGTCTGATGACCCCATGCCACCCAGGCATCAACAAATATTCCTCTTTAGGACAGAGAGGAGTATTAATATCTGTGCTTTCCACATATGTGGCTGTTTGCTTCATTTATAAATGCCCAACATCTAACCTGAAGACTGGTATGTTGTAGGTGCTCTGTAGAGTTTGTTTTTGAAAGTTAAAAATAAAGAAAGAGAGGCCAGGCATGGTGGCTCATGTCTATAATCCCAGCACTTTGGGAGGCCGAGGTGGGTGGAACACAAGGTCAGAAGTTTGTGACTAGCCTGGCCAAGACAGTGAAACCCTGTCTCTACTAAAAATACAAAAGTTAACCAGGAGTGGTGGCAGGTGCCTGTAATCCCAGCTACTTAGGTGGCTGAGGCAGGAGAATCACTTGAACTCAGGGGGCAGATGTTGCAGTGAGCCGAGATCACACCACTGTATTCCAGCCTGGGCAGCAGAGTTAGACTCCATCTCATAAAAAAGAAAAGAAAAAAAGAAAGAAAGGGAGCAGGGGGATACTTCCTTATTTCTGCCTTCTCCATAAGAGTATGTCACCCTTTATTGAGAACTTACTATCATTTACTCAACATTAATTACCTTTTCTAATCTTCACAACAAATCTATCAGCATTGTTCACTCTTCAGAGTAAACTGAGGCTCAGGATAGGGAAATGGTTGCCCAAAACAACACAGCTCAGAATCCAGGTCTATAGAATTCCCACACCCAGACTCTTAGTCATGGTCACTACATTAAATGCCAAAGGCCAAATATTTTGTTGTAGGCTATTTAAAGGTATGCCCCCCTCTAGAAATAGTTCTGTAAGTTCTACAGCACCAACACAA